AAAAAAAATAAAAAAAATTGCAATATCCATTGTCACTTTCTTAGTTTTGCGTGAAACTAATTTGTGTTCTCTACAAGTAAAGTACTAAATTATGTATGTATAAATAAAAAGTATGTATATGCAATACATATACATACATACGTCTGCTACCCCTCTTTTCTCTTGGTGTAATAGTGGTGCAAAGACGACGACTGATGTATGTTTTATCTCCGTGAAAACGAATGAATCAAGGTCCAAACCGTAGTTGTAGTCAACTACCTGTCAATGGGTGGGTTCGTTACCCAGTGCAAAATTAATTGAATTTAGTCACCTATTTAACTAATAAAAGGAATTTTGTATTTTTTTATTTGTTAAAAAATTTTCGAATCCCTACAGTTTATACAGCGATTGCTTACGATTAATACTTTGTGAGAAAAACTTTTTTAATGCAATACTATTATTAAAACCTCATACTTCCTTAACTCAGTTTTATTAGTCGTCGGCTTGAACGAATATCTTCCAATGACTATGTTCATTAATAAAATGATTTTTCAATCAAAATTCTTATAATTATTCTAAGATCTTTAACAATCTCAAAGAACTTGCAATCACCTAAAAGGGGTAAGGTTACTTCGCAATCAGCGCACACAAAATTTAAATTTATATGTAGTATTTATACAAGAAATAACAATATCGATTTAAGGAAGTTACTTTACGATCTATACGAAACACTAAATACATTTTACGTCACTAATTTTTCTTAAATGATTAACGTTCGAAATTTTTAAATTTAAATTTATGTGCCTTAATGTTCTATCTATTAGAGAAACTCGACTACTGGGGTACACACAGATGTTTTAAGAACCTAGTAGAGACCATAAAAGTATTTATTTTACTGATAGTGGGACTCCAAAGATGATTTTGATCTTGGCTTTTTCGCACGACTTGCTTAGATGATTGATTGCTCGTGGTCGTACATCGCCTTTGTCCAGGTAAAGCCGATCAACGGGTCCTGAACAAGAGGTATATTGCTAAAGAGCCGTAAATCTTTCTTGACAAGATGACGCCAATAAATGGGTCCTAGCCGAGAGATGGACTGCCTCCCTGGACTTATTTAAGGCTCTTTATACTCTTATCATTTAATTTTTGTAGAAGCTTTTCCACTTTTTGGGTGAACGCGCTCTAGCGTTCGCTTAGCATACCTTGCACACATCACCCGCGTTGCGTTCAAATTCGAATTTTAATATGTAAGGCAATGATGAATTATAAATAAAAAAAATCAGGTGTCGGTCTCGGGACCTCCGACAGATATAAAATATTAAAGAATATGTTATTGAACTCGGTGGTATCTGATTGTCTATGATGAAAATAGTTGTTTTCGTCGGAGGAGTGCCATTGTCTCCGGGGCTATTTTGCGGCCCGAGGGACCTGTTAAGACTTTACGAATTTACGAATATGTATTTTTATCATCGAATATTATAGATTAGGAAAAAGTAAATATTAAATTATGTTTATATTTTTTTTGTTTAATAAGATATAAACAATAATACGCGGCGAACAGTATCTATACTATCTATTAGCGCACGGTGGCTTGGTCGGCTGGTTTGTGGGATGGCACGCGGGAGACTGCGGGTTCGTTTCCCTGCCAGAGCGGCTCTCCAAAGCAAGTACCTCTGTGAATATTCACATGTATTTTTTCACCTCGCGATACTCCTCGTGAAGGGATGGGCGACCTTCTATCATTTTCATTAGTCGCCTCTCGGAGCCCTATTAAACTACTAATAGGGAGAGTTCCCTTATTTCTTTTTCTATTTATAATATTTAATTTATGTACACATTTTAACTGGTAATCAACATACATTTATTTTTCTGAATATTTCATTCGAAAAGCCTGCCTGTCTCTTATTTTATCATCTGGCTTGTACGTGTAAAAAGAAACTCTAAAATTTTTTTCTACAACAAATCCATTCTTATCGGACAATGATTTGTAGACCAGAAGTATGTTTCGTGCATGAAAAATAATACTATAGATGTATTCAAATTATATGCATGCATTTGGAAAAAATTTATCTTAACACATGTAAAACAAATGCATAATTTTAATCGAAGGTTTGTTTGCTCATTTAATTTAGAAAACAAATAAAAGGTTTTTATATAAAAAAATTATTTAATGTATCTTGAATGTATTGCTGTATACTGTAAATTTAAATTAATTGTGAAAAAAACGAAGTTCTTACTAGTAAATACATGTTTATATCTTTAGAAGGCTTATTATAAATGTACCGTATTAAGCAGGACACGATCAGAAAATTTCACAAATTTAAAATCCATAGTATATAGAAAAAGAAGTACATGGTTCTTTATATTGTGTCTTATTCATTATGCATTAGCTAAAAAAAGTTGCTAAAGCAAGGTGATTCACAAAATTTGCTTTCTACCTTTCACCTCTCGATTAGGTTTAACCTACGGCTTGAACTTTTTTTCGCTAAACAACTTTCAACTTATGAAGTTTTGTTAAAAAGTTGATTACTTTAACAGTATAAATTCTGTTTTTCTGACATACAACACTAAATTAGCCAAAAAAGCCGCAACTTTCTGTACTTAATTTCAAATTCCCCATAAAACTTATTTGAAAATTTTCAATTTGGAATGAATGTTTTTCTATCGTGGTGAGCAACATGCCCTGGTATTTTAAGTATAGATTAGTTAAGTTTTATTTTACACGAATGTATTTTGATGTTACTAAAGTTACTTTTAGGCTTGGCCATCTGGCGAGTACAATTGAAAGCGTGGGATACCATACGACGATGTCGTATTTTTTTAAAATTTTTTTCTGTAAAACTAATTGGTGGATCGTTTCGTTTTAGTGTGCACTTTAATCATGACATTTTCTGTAAAAAAAAAAAGGAGCGAAATTAAAATAATGAATTTTGTTAAAACTGATGAATATAAAATTTTACTATACATGTACGTGTTAAAATAACTACATTTAAAAATTTAATATTCTGAAAACGAAACAGTCGAATGATTTTATATTTGATCAATTTTCTGAAAATCAGTATGAACGTCTAGTTCCAATTTCAAAAAAATTAGTGTGGGATCATATTTGTATGGAACGTCCTGAAAACAACATTACAAAAATGTACATAAAAAAAAATAAATGATGTGAAAAATGCCATTTAATAGTAAGTGTTTTTAAATTTTTACCGAGTATTAATTATTAAAATGCAATTTTTTAGTTATGAAAGTAATTTATAAAGTACTTTTTAATGGAAGAGTATGGTTTGGTTACGGGAATTCGGCAAGCACAGTGTGCATATACATGCACATAACAGGTAACTTATGCAGACAAAAAATTGCAAGGATTCTAATATTGACAATACCGCATCTACGCTGACATTCCATTATGTTTTATCAACACGAAAAGTTTTGTTGGGACGTAAAAAATGCTACCATTAGTACATTTTTTAGGTAGATGATGCTGGTATCACTACTTATCAATTGTTGCTTGGTTTCGCTAAGCGAAACGCACTCTCAGCCTGCATTCATAAACTATACAAGTGTTGTTCTAATTTTCGTCTGCTTATTGCATATATTTATTAATTTTATTTGTTTCCAATGTACAGAATTAAGATTTTTTTTACATGTTTTGATACCCTCCACAAGAATCCCATGTAGTCTCGCTCGCATTATTTTAATTTTAGTAACTTAAATAACTAAGCCTTCTAATACTCTTAAGCTATTCGCCGCGCTCTCTATCTATTTGCATCAAAATTTTTTCGTGTACCTACCTTTCTCTTTGCAATGCTCAATTCATAATTAACCTTACATTTTCTTGGTCCGCTTTGCTTTACACTGGGTAACGCTATCTAATCTTACATTCTAAGCAGTCTTTCTCTCTAAATCTCTATTCAACTAGCCTCTTGGCCCTTGATCGATTTAGTTTTTTTAATTCTTTGCTGAATTTACATAGACTGATAATAGGATCCTCTTCCAGTAATTCCAATAATTTTTCTCTAGTTTTCTGATACGTGTCTAAAAATTCCCATTCTTCAACACCTTTAACCCATTTATCACTGATTCTTTCATTTATATCCTTGTATTTAAATATATGTACCATTTTTTCTGGTTCCTTCCTGCATACCCTACAACTTTTGTCTCGGAATCCCTTGTTTCCTACACCCTACATTTCTACATCTCAACCTTGTCCATATGTCTTTTATTTCTTCTGTTATCTGTCTATCTTCCCAGTATTTTTCAATCCCGGATTCCTTTTTTATCTTCGTGTAGTAATAGCAGTAACTTGATTTCTCGATTTTGAACCAAATCTTTTGAGTTTCTTGGTCTCTTTTTATTTATAGTTCCCTTTCTAGCCTATCTGAAAATTTACTTGCTACCGCATTCTGAAATAGGCCTTTGATTCCTATTCCATCTCCAAGCTTTTCGCTTCCAGTATTTTCGCTATGTATAATATGTATTTTACCGCCCTTCTCATAGTTTTTAACTCTAAGCTTTTCTGGCTTTATCTGCGGTTTTAGTTACATGGTGGCTAAACGTATTTTTTTTTTGTAAACCAAAATCCTAAATACTTTTATTTATTGACTACTTCTATTCTTTATCCCTTGAAGTGCAAGTTCTCCCCTTCTTCAAGCCTGGCTCCCTTTCTGAAAACAATGATTTTTGTTTTCTTTATACTAACCTTCAGTTTATTTTTATCATTGTATCTTTCTAAGTTATAGAGCTTGCTAAAGTTGTCCTTCCTTTGTATCTGAAACCACTGCTACGTTATCTGCAAACTTAAGGTTAAAGATCTTTTTTCCTGCTAAGACAGTACCTCCCTCGTTACTCCTTATTGACTCCTCTTCCAAGTCCTCAAGGTAGATACTGCATAGGCTTAGGCTTAAAGGGCACCCCTGTCTAAATCTGCACCCTGTTTTGAATCTTTCTGTGATATCTTCCTCCTTTATGACTTTATTGTCAGTGTTTCTGTATGTTTCTTCTTTATTCTTCAAAATTTCTCTTTAATCCCTATTTCCTCTCATTTTTTCTATTAAAATTTCCCTGTTCACCCTATCAAATGCTGTTTTGAAGTCTATGAAGCGAACGTTTATTCTTTCCTCTTTATTTCTCAGCTTATAATTCATTACTGTATTTAGTGTAAATATGTGGTCCCCAGTGCTCCTATTCTCTCTAAATCCTGCCTGACTTTCTTTCAATTTTCTATTTTCTTCAAACCAATTTTTTAGCGTGACCGCTAGCATACTTGTGAGAATTTTATATCTTATATTTAATAAAGCTATCCTTCTGTAATTTCTGATATCTTTTTCATTGTTTGCCTTGTACATGGGGAATATTCGTGCCACTTTCCATCCCTTCACTAGCTCTGCTCTATTAAATACTGCTAGTTCCCCTATACAAAATAAAGTTAGCACCTTGAAAAATTCTACCGGTATCCCGTCCACTCCTGCTGCTTTGTTATTCTTCATTCTTTTGAGTGCACTCAGCACTTCGTCCCCTGTGATTTTAGCAGTTAACGTCTCCTCTGACTCGTCCTCTTATTTATCTTCTTCTGCCGGCCTTTCAGTCTCATCTTTACTTTTTCTTCTCGTATTTTTTTTCTCCTGGATTTGGCATACCTTGTGCTCCTAAAAACTTTTTGAAGTGCTATAGCCAATACTCTTTTTTGTTGCCTGCTTCTTTCTTTTTCTTTTTTGGCTTAAATTTACCTATTATCCTCCGGAATTCTGCCATTCCTCTTAGTGTGAGCGAACTAGATTTTTGACTTAGAAATCCAGACTAGGCTAAAAAATTTTCTTTGTATAGGTCTCGAGTCCGATAAAAAACATTACCACTTTCGAATAAAAAAAAATGTCAGTGAAAGGTCCAAAAAAAATTGTACAAATGGCCATATTAGCTTTTTCCCGTCTATCGGAAAAGCTGTAATTCAGCCAGAAAAATGTTCTGCATTCAAAAGATGCGCAATTTTAAGACGAACAAAATAAGCCCTGGCAACCGCAAATCGGCCTCACCGTTTTTCCGCAAATTTCCAAAAAAGGCCAATTTTACCCTGTTTTTCAGCATTTCATAACTCGTGTTCTAATTAATATTTTGACTTCAATTTTTATCTGAACATGGATTTTGTGGTTCTTAATCGGATGCAAGCTTTTTGCAAACCGTCAAAAGGTCCTTCCAAAAAACGGCTCTAAAAAAGTTGTTAGACCACATAGAAATATTTTACAAAATGTTTTTTCTTAATGAGATATTAATCTAACACTGATTAAATTTTCGTACCTCTCACTTTTTCGTAAGTACCCTAAAAATGTATCGGAAAATAGTGTTTTTTCGCAAAATACGACTGGTGGCTCGCTATGGCACTGGGTTGAGCCCGCCGCCGCTTTAGGCCACGTCCTCGCAGCGCCGTACCACTCCAGCGCCGCCGCTGGTACCTTGCGACAAAAACACTATTTTCTGATATATTTTTACGATACTTACGAAACATTTAAAGATACGAAAATTTAACCAGTGTTAGATTAACATCTTATTAAGAGAAAACATTTTCAAAAATAGCTCTATGCGGTCTAATAACTTTTTTAGAGCCTTTTTGAGAAAGGACCTTTTTATAGTTTACTTTACCGCTGAAATTTTTTATGTTTGTTATAATAATAGTCTATCTTTCTTGTAAGGTTATGCCCACTAAGTCTGTTCCTATTCCTCTATTCTCTATTTCATTATTATACTCACTACTCTTGCTTTTATCCTATTTTAAAGTCACCATGCTATCTGATTCTTCCCTTATAAGTCCCATCCTTTCCTACCTCGCTTGTACCTGCTATACTTATTTCTACTGAGAAGTGATCGGATTTAGTTCTCAAAGTTACTTTAAATTCATTTACTATACTCCCTGGATCACTCTCTAGTTCGAGTACTAGATCGAGAACCGAACGGCTGTTACCCATTATGAGTGTGTACGTTCCCTTACAGTCCCCTTATTTTGCTCCGTTTTTAATAATGTAACCTGTTTTTTCGAAAAATCCAGAAGTTTTTCCTCTCTATTTACTGTTTTTTTTGTCTACGGAATTTTCGCTCGTTTCTCTTCTGCCTTTGTTATTTATTTGCCATTCTCCTATTCTTGCGTTAAAATCTCCGATTATCAAAACTAAACCTTGTTCATTAATACAGTCATCTACTACATCCTGTAATTTCTCAAGCATAAGTTATAGTTTTGTGTTATGGTATACCCTAATTATGCAATCTTTTTTTTTTCATTTTCAACCCTCTTATGGTAAGCCCGTAATCCCATTTGTTTATCTTATATTTGGAAACATGCTTTTTAATGCATATTAGTACTTCTTCTTTAGCCCTTCCTCTTTTGCTCTCTTGAACTGTCGCTTTTTCGAACCAGTTAAAATTTTTATCTAGTTTATACTTCTGTTTACTCGCGTTGCATATTTCTGCCCATGTTTCCTGTAATATTATCACATCTTATTCATTTGGATAATTTTTGGCTTCATCAGACTTTCTGGTACCATGAAGTGGTTTTTACACTCTCCTCTACCTGGAAATTTGCCCTTTTGCTTTTGAAATCGCCTATCTGTTGTTGTTTCTTTTTCTTGTATAAAATCTCCCTTTAATTTGTCCCATGCTCACCATTTGCCGTTAATTTATGTTTTAAGATATCTCTTGCGCATCTCATTCTCTTTGTTCTTCTCTTTTCCTTTTCTTATTTGTATCAACCTTGATATTTCTTTTACCCTCTGTAAGATCGTCATCGAACCGCAAGTTAAGATCTTTAAGCTTTTCTTTGATCGTCATAGTATTTCTTTTTTTTTCTAATAATGAAAAATTGTTAAACCTCTCTAACCAATTCTACTGTGATTGATTTCGTGAAAATAATTACTCAATTTAATAAGATTTTTAGAGAGGCTTGTGCCATAATACTTTCTTGTTCTTTAAAACAGTTTTTCGCTTCGTTTTTGGTTAAGAAACCTAAAAAAAATTGTTTCACAACGTTTGCTTGAATTTTACATTATTCATGCATAGTTTTATCACCGAATTAAGGCTCATAGCCTTTTCAAAGTAGCAACTGAACTCTACCGTTTATAGTTACTTTAGAGCACTTAAAAAAAGAGAAAAGGCAAATATTGGTTTGTATTTTTATTCAAGGAGTTTATATACGCTTGCGTTTAAGAACAACTCGTCAGGTTAGGCATCTGAAAAAATCAGTGACTAACCTCATAGTTTTAAATTGACACAATCACAATCGTGGTGCAATAATTATACTGTAATTGATGATTGAAATTTCTAATCGCTTGGATTTCACATTTTATACTAGTTGATATCGAAGTTGTGTACAATATTTGTTGTGGATCATATGCCGTAATGAGTATTGTAATCGATGACTGCTTACTTTTTTGCGTGAGTAAGTACTAATTAATGTTGTGAGATAAGCGCTTTGCAAGATTGTTTGGAGAATGCTAAACGTTTGAAAATCGCTAAGCATTCGCTTTTTATAATTTTAAACGGAGTTGAATGTTTTGGAGAAATTAATATTGAGTATATGACATGGGGTATTAATCGCCCCCCCCCCTACATTAGCTGATTGCCATCCTTGGCAATCACAAGAGTGAAAACAGTTTAACTTTTGTCTAGTATTTAAAAAAATTTTTTTAAAGTAACAGCTGTAAAATTAATTAAATCAAGAAATAGGACAAAAAATATGTTTCTATAAATCAGTTCAATAACATTATAGTGTTTTATTTCTCGACGTTTTGCTGTTGTAAATCTTTCGTGCTGAATTATTCTGTAGATGATATTGTGCTACAGCAGTAAGTGTCAGATGATATCTGAATTGGAAGTGGTGACTTCATGGTCATGATTTTTGCGTTATTTGGTAGAAATGAAATATTCCTGTACTGTAACTGGAATATATGACACGGTTGGTATACGTCTGTTATCTCACGTATTGGTCATTCACTATAATGTGCATTCATAACAGAGTTATTATTTACTTGACTTCTCAATTGTAGTTTTAATTTGAAATGTTGTGCAATAGGCGTTGATGTTCTGCATTTAACGAAGTATCCTCATAGCTTTAATGTTTTATGCGACATTACTGTGGGATTCACAACGCTTCATTAAATTGAAATAGAAGAAAATACTGCAGTATCGCCATAATATTTCTTTTATCGTTGTTATTCCTACACAAAATTGGCATCTAGGTATGTAACACTGTTATAAATACTGTGATATTATCGTCACCGATGTTTTATAGGTCCGAAAAGTTACTTTTTGTGAATTATTATACGTTATTTTCATAGTGCACACACTATAAATTTATAAACTGTTAGAATTTGACATCAGCAATAGTTAATCATAGAATTTTTTAAAATTGGTGCCTGGAAAGCATTCATCTTCAAAACATAAAATCCTTCATTGATAATTTCGAAGGTATATATGTATGTATATGTATATGTATATGTATATGTGTATATATATATATATATATATATATATATACATATGCTTGTATGTTGTATTAATTACAATAAAATAACATAATACGTCCAAATAGTGTATATAAGTATACACATTAAAATTTTTTCGAAATTTATTAGATTATTCATATAGATTGTCATTAGTATCAGAACTATGGACTACGATTCGTATATTTTATTAGTAATAAATTCTGGACATCGTTAACATTTCCTGACGAATTTTTCATCAAAGTAATTATGATTTATTTTTGTCACTAATTTAATTTTCAAGTATTTATGTATTGTTATTTTATGACAAACATAAATTTTCAACGAAGATCACACGTTGTGAAATTAATATAAGCCTGTTGTATTGACATTACTTAGCTGTTGATTAAATAAAATCAAAAGAATTTACTCCTGTTAGGTGAAGTAGAAGTCCAGGAGTGAGAGAGAATTCGCTTTTAGTGGTCAGCGTACTCAAATTTCAGGAAGTTTTGTCAGAAAAGTCTAATGTTAAAGAAAAAGAACTTAATTATAGCAGAACTTGTATTTGTTACAATAAGATAATTTAAAACGCTAGAAGACACACAACGCTACGGTATACATAGAATTTAAAAACTAACGATTTACTTATTGAAACAAATTCTGGAGCCAAAGGAGTGATAATTAAAATGCGTACAAGAACTGAGGATCCAAAAATTATTATATTTTATCATCCTGTAGTAATTGAACAAAAAAATGCCTNCATGTTTAGGAGGTCTTATTGACAGAAGACGATTTTCAACTATGGAAAAATTATTTGGATCTCCAACATAGAAGGGTTGTTGAGGAGAGGTAAGTATCAATTCCGTGTACTGGTTACAACGCCAAAAAACACTGTGCATAGTACATGCCATTGACTCAGTCAAAAATTTTTTAATTAATTAAAGTTGATACCCCCTTTACCCCATTTACAGCTTCATACTGCTGAATGAAATGAGTCATTTATAAAATATTTTCTCACAACGCTA